AAGAGAGAGAGAGAGAGAGAGAGAGAGAGAGAGAGAGAGAGAGAAAGAGACAGAGAGACAGAGAGAGGGGATGAAAGAGAAAGAATGAAATAGGAAGAGAGAGAATAAGAGAGAACATGCGAAAGAGAAAGGAAAAGAGAAAGAGAGACAGAGAGAGAGACAGAGAAAGAAAAAGGAGAGATAATTAAAGGAGAGAAAAAGAAAGAGCTAAACAATACAAATAGATAGATCTATACAGAATGACAGACAGTAAAATAGAACACACTCAGATAAAGAAGAAGGTGAAAAAAAGAGGTTCCCTAAAAATATGGGAAAGGTGATGAAAGTCACACCCACAGGATACTTTCTATTGATCTTACCGTGTCACAAAATCCCTTTAATCAATGCAGGAAGGATTTCATTCTCTGGCTAATTCGACCCGTTTGACCTAATTCTGGGCCCGTCCAACCCTTCGGTGGAAACTGAGGAGTCTATTAGGGGGAGAGGAAAAGCTAAAAAAAAACACATTGGTGAACGAGGTCATGGAAGTTTAGGGACCCCGGGGGAGGGAGGGGTAGCAAGAGGAGACGTGGGTTTGGGGGAAACGGGAGGGAGGGGGGGGGGGTCCTTAGTGTTTCAGGGGTGGAGGTTCAAGGGATGGGAGGTACCGGGGCGGGATGATCCTGGAGTCACAGGAGGTGATTTTTTTTTTTTTGGGGGGAGGGGGTGTCCAGCCTGACCGAGAAAAGTGTTTTTCTTTTTTTTTGTGCTATTTTTTTGTTTATTCTTTTCCTCTAAGGGGAGGACGAGTAGGGAAGTTGTTTTTATTTTAAGTATGTTTTAAAATACTAACAAGTTTCAGTCATGCCCTCAGCGCGACTTCTTGCAAGTAGAGCTGATAGCTTGTACACAAATACATTGAAACATAGCACAGTATCAAAATTCAAACACCTTTGTTGGTCTTGACTTTGTAGTGTCTTTTTTTTGTAAGCTGTGGCTATCACGTCGTCGTGTTGCTCAAGGAAGCTCCTCAGCAACAAACCCCCCGCCCCAAAAAAAAACAAAACCAGACAGCAAACAGCAACCCCCCAAAAAAGGAAAACAGAACTGTTTATAAATAACGCCGAAGCAGCGGTTCTTCGTGCATGAGAAATATTCGTCCGCAGTGAGTCAGATCTACAGTGATTTGTGTCTGTGTTTGTGTGCCTGGTTCTTTGTTTGTCTGTCTGGCTGGCTGGCTGGCTGTCTGTCACACACACATACACACACTTAACACACACACACACACACACACACACACACACACACACACACACACACACACACACACACACACATGCCCTCACCACTCTGCACTCAACCATCGTTCTCTC